GTAATTCCGATAGTGTGCATATATCCGAGTATGTAGAGTATTCAGCTGACGAGTTCTACCAAAATTTGACGAATTCATTAAATCCTGCTTTAAAAACTTTTATTGTTTGTTTTATTATTTGAGAATTTAACGCAGACTTTATAGGCGACAGACCATTGAGAATTGATAACAGTAGCAACACCACCACCTCGCTTCTTCCTTGAACTACTTCGGTCTTGTCTGTACATCTTGAAAACATTCAAGGACAATAAATTGACACCATGTGAATCGTGAAGCGAAGTTTCTTGAAGTGTTATTACACCTGGTGAGCAGTTTCAGTTGCACGATGTTCAAAATGATGCTGTCAGTCGAAGTCTAATATTTGCTTCACGACGATAGTTGATATGCGATTGCGAATATTACATGTAAAGATAAACAAGCCGCTGCAACGTTGTTCCAGTTCAGCTGTCTCATGTGTGATAAGTGGTGTAGATCAGTGTGAGAGGGTAAAAAATTTGATTTCGTCAATTCAGTTACAATTTCCATTGATCTCATCAATAGATTCTACACCAGACTTCTAAATGTATTAGCTATTCTACAGCTGAGTGTATGAAATCGTAGCAGAGATACTCATCGGGTTTTAAAGATCAATACGCGTACTCGAACAGAGTTATCTTTCGCAGTCAGAAGATAATTTCCACCACTGTCTCTTTGAGTTACAGTGATAATTATAATAATAATCTGGTGGCCTGCTTGAATCACTGGGCTGCTGAATTTACACCAGGTTCAATGCTGCATAAACCTCAATCTAAAGAAACTCGTGGTGTAGCTCACTGAACACAATATCGATAAGAGGAGCAGATGTCATCTCAGACAAATATAAAGTGTTATTACCCTTTATGATCAGGTTGAAGGATCCCATTATGGAAGCCTTTCCGATCAGGCATCCACATTGACAGTAATGTGTCTGTAGACAATCAGTCCATAATTCTCACAGCATCTTAATCTCTCATTATGTTGACAATTTGAATATATTGGAAAACTTCTTCTTGGAAAAGGAACGAAGAGAGGAGATTGAAAGATTTACTAAAACATTTGTCTTCTAATATCCACGTAATCATGGCGTGATTATCATTTCTATAAATTGATTGAACTCCATCAAAGGACGTAAACAATTTTCTTTAAAGAAAGCATAATTAGTCAGAGAGAAAAGGTAAACTATGTGTCTCATTACACGGTAACAATAACAGCAGGTTATGTGAAGGAGACAGTTTTCACTTAGAATAACAGACTACTTGTAGGCTGACGAAATAAGTAGCACTTCCGTGAGAAGTGTGGTGAGTTGGTTGTAAATACGAAGATAGTATGCAATAGATGAAGACGATGAGTGATCAAAATAGGAGGATTCAGTGTGAGGAGTGACGGTTGACCAGTTAGTTGAAAGTCGTTCAACGGGTTTGTTGACTGACTGGTTAACATAGTTAACATAGACAGTGTGCTATTAAATAGGAGATAGGAAGACTGTAGTTAGTAGTTCATCATGGAATAATCAATATCTGAGAGAAATAATATCACTGACAATGTAGCGGAACAGCTTGTCAGTGTCAGGTTGCAAGACAGATGAAGAGACGGAGGATCGAGGTGCTCGAAACACGTGAGAGCAGATGAAATGCAATTGGACTCTGCAAACATTCAACTGGATAGTCAAGAGTCGACTGTGTTCTGGCCACTCATACGACAACGACGAGCACACTGAGGCAGTTGGTGGCAATCAAGATATAGCCTACAGCAGTCAAAGCCTTTATGCAGTGAGAGACATTCTCACCTCGGATGGTGGCAGCAAGATTTAACACAAAACGAAGTAGGCATGGAATCAGGGTTACAATGATTAAATGTTACGCATCTGGTTGCGTTTTAAATCCTGCTAAATATTACGCCTGTTAAGATGAAACTGTGTCATGGTAGTAGTTCTAGTATTAGTAGTATTAGTATTAGTAGTAGTAGTAGTAGTAGTAGTAGTAGGAGTAGTAGGTATAGTAATCCCCTCAAACTTATCCGATTGTTGGACATATCACAAAGTGGAACAGGTTTCTTCACCAGATGATGTTTCGAGGTGAATGTGTGGTTTGCATTGTTATTATTCTCTGAGTATTGCTCAATATTTTGTACATGAGCATGGAATAAATAACAGTGGAATGCTGTTCAAATGTGTGTGTGAACTCCAATATCCAGGGATCAGTAGAGACAGTGAAATTGATGATTCCGTACAGTCGTTTGTTTATTCATCAGCTTTTATGTCAATAGTTGAGAAGTGAGCAATATTAACAACAGTGTCTTGCAATCATGATACATATTGCATGAGTCACCAGACTGTTTATATATTTCCGATTCCAGTCAAATTGGAAAAACGGGCCACAGAAAAGAAAACAACTATCGATGAGTGTAAGTCAACAAATTAAAACAACATTGATAATTATTCGTTCTTTTAGTTGTGAATTGTCTGATCAAAACTTCTGGACACTACTACACGCCAGTAATTTACAAAAGTATGTGAAATGTTTGTTGTTTATTTTACAATCTACAAACAAAGAGACTGGACTATTGAAATCTTTCGTTAAATGTTGATTTTGAATTAACACCCCTTCTGAATATCACACAGATATATGTGGGCTGACGTCCAGTTATCTAAATAATTTCTTTGAATACTGCATCACATGGTTGGGAATTTTTCACCTTTCACCATCCTGATTCTTGTCTGTCTTTAATTTGTCGTGTATTCACTTGTTTTGTCAGCTATTTCACATACCATCATAAGTGTGCACAAGTCATATGGTAAGTACGTTTTTGTAACTCGTTGTAGATTCTGTTTGATCTTGTTCGCTTTGCCCTTCAATCAGTGAGTTGTCGAAGGTGATTTGTGAGAAAAATTCAGTTGAGTCACACTACTGCTCCCCAAGGATGTGCATCAAAGTGACAGATTGTTTTCAGCTGCTTAAGATGCTGATCCCATATTTCAATGTCTGTCACTTGGCTACAACCAGTGTAATAGAGTATGATTGTATCGATCACTTTATCGAATCTCTGACTAAATATCTATACTTGCAAAGGCAGTTAATTTATTTGCTGATGTAATTAACTATGGACCACTAGTATTCGCCAGATGGCAAAAGAAACCTGAAATTATCCACTGAATTTGCTTCATTCGATCTCTTTGACAGGTGATTCTCGAATTACTGGTTAACAAATACTCTCTTTTCCTTTCGCATTTTAATCAGGGAGTTTCATCGACATACCCTTGGATAAAGATCTTTGGAAGAGTTCGCTAATCCATGACTCTGAATGTAAGTATTAATATAATTGGTTGAGTAAGTTGGTTTCATTTCTGCTTGCGGCTTCTCACTCGTGTGACTGAGTTAAACTTCTTTGTGTTCTGATCCACTATATTTAACTGGTAACTCAGTTATCTTTGATAGCATGAGCGTATGACTGAAAGACAGACAGTTAGTTTATGACATTGTCAAGAACAAAACAAGTGATGACTCTCTGTTGGTACTTACTACAATTCTTTTGTGAATGAGTACGTCATTTTGTATAGTTTGTACTGAGCCGGTCACAGTTTTCACAGGTGAATTCAGAGCAACTGGGAATTATTCAGCGACAGTATGCACATCACTCAATCAGAAGTTGTGCAGTTCATCGACTCAAAGCCAATCCTAGTGACGATTTCATACCTCAGGTGTCTTTCCGAGGATTTATGTCACTCATTATCTACTCCCCAAGAATCACTTTCAGTCTATAAACAGGTTGGCGGAATTCGCTACAATCACACATATGCTTATCTCAGATGTTCTCACAAACGAGTATTATCTTTGTATGTGTTGATTTTTATGAATTTCAGTCAATCCAAGCCGTAAGTCAAATCACTAAATACTGGTGATCAGTAAAATAAAAGACAGTATGTTTATTGTAGCCGGTGACATGCTGTCAATGCTATCCTCTTTTGTTTGAATAGTTACTTCTCAACTCCCGAATTTCAAAGTTTGTGATAGTCTTCTGTCGATTGAACACACTAAAGGTAATTCGAAACATGTCATTGTTTTTTGGAAGATTATTTCATCAGTTTTATCTTTCATATGTCACAGACAGGTGTTGTTTCCTATTTATTCCGCTGAATAATAGTTGACAGTGACTTTCATACTACAATTTACGCGAGTGATGAAGCTATTCTCTACAAAGAGAAGGTCTACTTACTCGCAATTACTTTAATGATTCTCCTTCCAGTGCATTTTCCACCAACTGAATTTCTAAGATTTTATCATGATAAATATTATCGTCCATTTGGATCTCACGTCGGACATACAGCTTCAACACCATATCTTCACTTACTCCTGCTCTCGTCAGTGGCCTCAAGATTGCCCATAGCCTGTAATTTCTCCGTCGCACAATCTCCACAATGTATTCACATTCGGACACACACTCACGTCTTCGTTTCTTACTCAGGTTCTACTCGAGCTATGGCCCACATTGAGCGTGATTTCAACTGATGGTCACTCAAGAGTGTGTCTGATCTGTCCACATTTTACTTGGCATATTTTGTTGATCAGTAGGTTATTGGTTGGTTCGTTCTCAGAGTTTCTTGTCGCTAATTCTCTCCACCCATTTGACTGATCTTCAATAAATAGCTAGCAAAGTAAGCTGTAGATAGAAGTCGTCCACCTACTGCAAATCCTGTGACATGTATTTACATATACATATGCGTATATAATATTGAATCTGATGAGGGGGATTCAATTTATACATAGACACCTTCTTCCAAATAAGCAAAATTTTTCTTCGTCCTCTACTGTCCAGAAATCATCATGTCTATCCATGATATGCTTTAAGTGTGTGTTTATACTCTACCCTCTTTTTCAGAAATAAATGATTTCATTCATTTGATAGCAAAGGTGTCCAATTGTGAGATTAATTTTGTGACACGTGCTGGTAAGTTGAACCATATACAGAGTGAAGTATTTTGCAAGGCACTTTCAAAATTCTATTATGTCGTCAACGTCTACTCAGAGGTGAGATAGCACTTCTCAACTAGGTGTTTCGTGTACACCTCGGATAATTGATTTAATGATTGAAAACGATAGGTTTGCAACATTTTATCTGTTTCCTTACATGCGTCGATTCATGTTCACACATCAAGTAAGCCTTTCTGATGACAAACTGCATCTCCTCATTGTAGAAATCAAATCGATTTATGAGAATGTTATGCTGAACATGCTAGTGAGTTTACGTACCAGAATCAATCCACACACTTTCCTATGACAAGTATTAGTCTACTTTTAGTTTATTCTTCACCAGCAAATCTCATGTCATATTCGTTAATTTCCTGTGTGTGTTTGGAGACAAGTAGATGAGATGTTCACTTCAAACGAATAACTAAGTATTGTGTGATTGAAATTTCATTTATCGGTACTATAATAAGATGGGAAGGTTTGGCCACTTTCTGATTGACTTCTTTGACAGTTCATTGATATGATTGTTTTAACTGAGGCGCTTAATTCACGTCTAGACGACATTTGAATGAATCGACTGTATAATCCAGCGCATGGACTAAAGCACAACCGATTTGAGTATTTCAGTCATTTGAAGCTGGAAATGTTGGAAATCGCTGATTGATTCACTCACTGAAACGTTTATATTTGCTTTAGCATCGTCCTTGATTTTATGTGTAATTACTCCTTCATTCGTCATTTCTCCTTCATTCTTCTGTTCTTCAAGAGAGAACACATGCTACTGAAAAGAAATCGAAAAGTGTCATTCGTGTGAGATGGTCGTATCTATTCAACTGTTTTCAAGAATCATTTGAAGACAATATGCTTTTTCTTTTCTCTTTCACATGATTCGACTTAATTGTTCACAGTTTTTGATAGTCGTAGTAGTAGTGGTAGTAGTAATAGTTGTGAAATATGTAAGAATAATATTAAATATAATAATAAAAGTAATGATAATAATATTTTGACTTCATTTTGACTTCCTTACCACAATGTTCAATGATGGTGGTGTGTGTAAAAGTTTACAGTCATATGAGAACATATTTGCAGGATGACCGAGCTCGTCTCAATTCACGAAATCTCTTCAACCGTGAAAATACTAGACTTAAACAAATTATAAGTAAGGGAATGTTTAAACATACTTTTCACCACGACGTCAAGTTAACGATGGAAAGAAAAGTCAAAATAATTTCGAAAACGATGCAGCTAGACAAATTATCCAGTGATGAGAGACTAACTGTTTGTAGCGCAATAAGAGAAGGGCAGGCGGTTGAGTTTAAATTCTGCTTGGGAATAATAATTGACTGGAGACTAACTATAAGATCGAAGAACAGAGTGAATTGATACATATTCTGATGGAGAGGTGAAGAGGGTGAGGATGAAGATTAGAGTCAAATTTTGACAGAGAAACAATCAAGTGTGTTTGGAAACTGAATAGTGAGTTTAACTCAGAGAGTGAGAATCGAAATCAAGTTGGACGTTGGGCGATAGGGCAAGACACAAAGCGCACAAACAAAGAGATATCAATTCAACTGCTCGCATTACTTGAACTAGGAAACACAATTTATCCAAACGCATCTTTTCGGTAACTCCTCATCAAGTAAGTGAACTGGTGGATAATAGCCTAGGTGATCACACCATTGATAACATGAGATGGCATACCAATACTAGGTAATACTGACTAGCAATGACAGCTTGGTCAGTCAATTATTGTGAGTGTGTACGTTTGTAGGAGTAGAGGGATACAGCAACTATTGTCTCATCACAATGTTAGGTTTCATAATTAATTGTGAAATTAGGGCGCAGTATGATAATGGTGATGAAAACAAAGATATCAGCACAAGTGGAGATGATATTTACAGAGGAAGGATAACAGGAGCGGAAGACTGTTGTGCAGTAAATTCGTTTTCAAAATGCACAATGATAAATGCAACAATTTTAGCACACATTAGCCAATAAAGACAAGTCAGGACTATATGGGAGTGTCCAGTGTGACATTAGTGAAAGATTGAATTAAAGCCAGTGAAGTTTTCTTGCCATCGAAATCCATGTAGAATGTGTGATCCATCAGAACATGAGATAACATGAAGTTAAGTAATTCAGTAACGTTTTTGTGTGCATATAATGGACGGGTTTCAAGAAGTGAGTGTAGTCAGGGAGGGAGAGGGAAAGAGACAGTGCCATAAAAATGTGAAACTTACAAGAAGGATATGCTGGACTTAACTTCAGTTTGTGATCTAACAAAGACTCTATGATATTAAGCTCTAACATCCAAGTGAACATTGCTTTGATGTTTGAAACAACAGGTGATGAGTTTGACTCCCAATGAGAACACCACAGTGACGAATTCCAAATAGGACGAAATGAGAATTCTGGTTTCCAGTGTTATTATTATATTATTGTTCCCTTGGGTTCCTAGTGGAACATAGGGCTTCAACTGCACGTCTCCACTTGCTTCTGTCTTGTGCTGTACTTTTCACTTGCATCCATGTTAATCCATACTGTTTCATCTCCTCCTCACACGATCTCCTCCATGTCACCCTTGGACGTACCACTCGCCGCTTCCCCTTCGGGTTCCACTCGAGCGTTGACCTGACGCGCGATGTCACCCAACAGCCTCCTCAGTGAGTGTCCAATCCATCTCCACTTTCTCCTGCATATTTGTTGGGCGATTGGTTCTTGATTTGTTTGTTCCCATAGTTTCTTGTTGGTGATTCTTTCCGACCATCTGATCTTGAGTATAGAACGAAGACAGTTGTTGATAAAGGTCTGCAACAGGCTGTTGGAAGTATTCTTTGTGACCCGCGACCAAGTTTCTGATCCGTATAGAAGAACTGACTGACTTGACGTTTGTATTGAAAATCCGAATTTTGTTGTTGACGTAGGCTGAGTGACGGATCTTTCCAGATTGGTTTCAGGTTGATGAATGTGTTTCTCGCCTTCCCGATTCTAGATTTGACATCCTCGTCCGTTCCTCCTGTGGTTGAGACAATGCTCCCTAGATAAGTGAAAGAAGTAACCTCTTTCAAATCCCTCCCGTTGATGGTGATTGGCGCTGGATGTTGCTGCTGCTGTTGTTGTTGTTGGTTATTTTCATAACCTCCGTCTTGTCTATGTTCACCTGCAGTCCTGTCTTTGCTGCTTCTTCGACCAGTTTGTCGGTTTTCGCTTGTAAGTCTTCGATTTTGTGTGACATCAAATATAAATCATCCACGCGCGAAATCCAGGTCTTCTAGGCTCTTCACGTCGGTCCAGGATGTCCCTGTCTCCTCGTTTCCCACTGTCTGACGCATAATCCAGTCCAGTCCACCACAATTAGGAATATCATTGGTGATAATAAGCACCCTTGTCTGACTCCTGTGTTTACTCCAAACGCCTCGCTGAGTTTTCCGTTGTGGATCACTTGACATGTGCTGTTGTCGTACAGCTGTTGAATAAGGTTGATGAATATTTGGGGTACGCCGTAGTACTCGAGTAGTTTCCAAATTACTTCGCGGTCAACGCTGTCGAAGGCCTTCTCAAAGTCTATGAAGTTGAGGTAGAGATTTGATTGCCATTCCATGCTTTGTTCGATGATAATGCGTAGGGTTGCAATTTGGTCAGAACATGATTTGCCTTTACTGAATCCAGCTTGTTCTGGTCGGCGGAGTTCTGTATCCAGTGCGTCCTTTATTCTCTCCAGGATGATGCGACTCAGGATTTTACTTGGCGTCGACAGGAGCATGATTCCTCGCCAGTTCTTGCAGAGTCCCAGGTCGCCCTTCTTTGGTAGTTTCACGAGGTAACCTTTCCTCCAGTCAGTAGGCACCTTTCCCTCCTTCCAGACCTTTTGCAGTAGTGGAGTCAGCAAATCTGCTGTCGTTTCTGGGTCCGCTTTCAGTGCTTCCGGGGGTATTCCATCTGGTCCAGCTGCTTTTCCAGCTTTCAGAAGCTTGATTGCATTCAAGACTTCAGCTTTCGTTGGAGGATTGGTGTCAACTTGCAGTTGTGTACGTGCTGTTGTTGGTATTTCTGGATGGGTTGCAGGTGGTGGTCGGTTCAAGAGTCCTTTGAAGTGTTCCGCCCATTGTTTAATTTGGTTATCTGATATAGTGTCCTCAGGTCCCTTATGCCTGCTACTTTCTCAGCTTCAGTAGCCAGGTTGTCGTAGAATTGTCTTTTGTCTTTCCTGGCACTCTTCTTCACTTCTTTGTCCAGCGCTGTGTAAGTTGAGCTCAGCGTCTCCTTCTCTTGTCCATCTTTGCATTGAATCATTTTCTCTTTCACCTTTCTCCTCTCCTCTACTAGCTTTCAAGTGTCCGTTGAGAGCCATTCCTTGTCTTGTTTCTTCTTTCTTCCTAAAACCGTTGGACACGTTTCGTTGAAAATTACCTTCAGAGAGTTCCAATGGTCTTCCACGGATGATTCCTCGGTGGTGCCAGGTAGTGCTTCTTGCTTTGCTCTGACAGTTGCAGTGAAAATGTCCTGTGTGATTGTGTCCTTCAGCTTTTGCGTGTTGAACTTATATTGTGGCCTATTCCCAGGTATCCTCGAGGCTTTTAGCTTCACCTTGAATGTTCCTTGTACTAGATAGTGGTCTGAACCCACATCTGCTCCTCTCCTTGATCTTGTATCCAGTAGGCTCCGTCTCCACTTCCTTGAGATTGAAATGAAGTCTATCTGGTTTTTGGTGTGTCCATCTGGTGAAATCCATGTTGCCTTGTGTATATCCCTGTGTTTGAACACACTGCCACCAATCACGAAATCATTGAAGGCGCAGAAGTCTGAGAAGAGTTCACCATTTTCGTTCATTTCACCGAGGGCCTCACGACCCATGGTGAGTTCTCTTCCTGTATTGTTTCCTCCCAGTTTCGCATTCATATCACCCATCAAGATTTTGATATCGCTCTTTGGGACGTTGTCCATTAATGTTCGTAGTTGACTGTAGAAATCCTCCTTCTTCTCTTGTTCTGACACGTTTGTAGGCGCGTATCATTGAATGATTGTAACCTTTTTTCCTTTTGAGTTGAACCTGGCTTTCATTATCCTGGAGGAGATTGGTTCCCACTGCATGAGAGCTTTAGCCGCTATTGGTTACATCATGATGGCTACTCCCTCGGTGTGTTCGTGATCGTCCTCTGGGTGACTGGAATAGATTATTGTCTCTCCAGTTGACAGTTGGCACCTTCCACATCCGTTCCATCTGCTCTCGCAGATTCCCAACACTTCTATTTTATATCTCCTCATTTCTGTGGCTACCTGAGCAGCCTTTCCAGTTTCGTACATTGTACGAATATTCCACGTCCCCATCCTTATTTTTGCTTCCATCGAAAGAAGGCAGTTTCCAGTGTTAGTCAGCATCAACAGAACTAAATTCACCATTTTTTCTTAAAAGTCATCGAAATCTCCTGAGGAGGAGTCAACATGTCATCAGAGACCCAGCATTTTCGTTCAAATAATCACTAGTATTGGAAAACAACTTAAGCTGAAAATAAATGATAATAATGCCAACGTTAGTCTTCTTAGTGTGTGGTCACTCCGTCTTCATTTCCTGCCGCATATTTGTTGGTCAGTATAATCTCGGTTCGTTCGCTGCCAGAGCTACCTGCTGCTAGTCCATTTATGTCTATGGCGAAAGGTGTTGATGGAGGGTTTCTTGATGACGGGATAAATCTCGGAACCAGATTAGATCACTGACTGACTTGATATTACTGTCGAAAGTCCGGATCTTGTTTCTCAAGCTGTGTGGAGCAGACTGGCAGACTGACTGATTTCAGAGTGATGAATATCGGTCTTGCTTTTCCCATCCTGCCTCTCATATCTTTATTTGTGC